TTCCACAGTTTCTCTATTTCTTGGTTTTGCCTCAGAAACTGCATTTTTTATGTCACCCCACAAGTTTTCTATTGGATTAAGATCCGGGGATTGGGCTGACCACTTCATAACGTCAATCTTGTTGGTCTGGAACCAAGATGTTGCATGTTTACTGGTGTGTTTGGGGTTGTTGTCTTGTTGGAACACCCACTTCAAGGGCATTTCCACTTCAGCATAAGGCAGCATGACCTCTTCAAGTATTCTGATATATTCAAACTGATCCATGATCCCTGGTATGCGATAAATAGGCCCAACACCGTAGTATGAGAAACATCCCCATATCATGATGCTTGCGCAACCATGCTTCACTGTCTTCACAGTGTACTGTGGCTTGAATTCAGTGTTTGGGGGTCGTCTGACAAACTGTCTCCGGCCACTAGACCCAAAAAGAACAATCTTACTTTCATCAGTCCAAAAATGTTGCGCCATTTCTCTTTAGGCCAGTCAATGTGCTCTTTGGCAAATTGTAACCTCTTCAGCACGTCTTTTTTTCAACAGTGGGACTTTGCGGGGGCTTCTTGCAGATAGCTTGGCTTCACATAGGCGTCTTCTAATTGTAACAGTACTCACAGGTAACTTTAGACCTTCTTTCATCTTCCTGGAGCTGATTGTTGGCTGAGTCCTTGCCATTTTGGTTATTCTTCTATCCATTAGAATGGTAGTTTTTCACTTTCTTCCAGGTCTTTCAGGTTTTGGTTGCCATTTTAAAGCATTTGCGATCATTTTAGCTGAGCAGCCTATCATTTTCTGGACTTTTTTTATATGTTTTCCCCTCTCCAATCAACTTTTTAATCAAGGTACGCTGTTCTTCTGAACAATGTTTGGAATGACTCATTTTCCTCAGAATTTCAGAGAGAAATGTACTGTAACCAGCATGTACAACATTTGCTGCCTTCCTTCCTTAAATAAGGGAAATAATTGCCACCTGTTTTTCAAAGAATGAATGACCTCACTAATAGAACTCCACACTGCTATTATTTTGAACATGCCCCTTTCAATTAGTGATTCAATTACACAGAATCAGCAGCATGCATGTCATGACTGTTGGGTCTGTTGGATTTCTATTACTCTACTACACCTGCTAGTAAATTATTTGCCATGTAGAAATATCATTTCTACCAAAAACAGTGAGTGATCAGGTTAGTGAGGTCTGACTGCTATATTATTTTGAACACAACTGTAAGTGCACTGCTAAAGCATAAGTGACAAATGCAATCATTTGCCTTTTGTGCTAGCATATTATCTGCGCTCGCCTTATAACTTGTGTTATATCTTTAGAGATATACTGTCAGCCCAGATTCAGCCAAATGCAAAGTTGATTGGACGGCGTTTCACAGTACAGTCGGACAATGATCCAAAACACACTGCAAAAGCAACCCAGGAGCTTTTGAAGGAAAAGAAGTAGAATATTCAATCACCTAATCTGAACTCAATTGAGCACGAATTTCTCTTGCTGGAAGCAAAACTAAAGGCAGAAAGACCCACAAACAAAAAACAACTGAAGACAGCTGCAGTTTAGAGCCTGGCAAAGCATCAGAAAGGAGGAAACCCAGTCTTTGGTAATGTTCATGGGTTCCAGACTTCAGACAGTCATTGCCAGTAAAGGATTCTCAACAAAATATTAAAAATAAACATATTTATGATTAAATTCATTTGTCCAATTACATTTGAGCCCCTGAAAATGGAGGGACTGTGTATAAAAATGGTTGCAGTTTCTAAAATTTTTACATATTTATGTTCAACCCCTTGAATTAGAGCTGAAAGTCTGCACTTCAAATTCATTTGGATTGTTTTGTTTTCATTTATTCTGGCATACAGAGCCAAAAGTATGAAAATTGTGCATGTGTCCAAATATATAGGGACCGAAGTGTGAGTGTGTGAGTGTGTGTATTTGCATACATAGATAGGGTCACATCTGCGTTCAGTGTAAACTAAACTATGTTCAAACTTGTCCCTTTAGCCTCAGCAACATCTGCCAGTTTTTTAGACATCACAGAAAGCATCAAACCTCATGTAAGAAAGAAAGTATGCTGCCCTTGGTAACCAATCAGGTTCTCCCATCACTGGTACTACTAGACAGCTTATGTATGAACGTACACATTGGGAAGATTCATGCTACAAAATAGATAACCAAATTTGTAATTCATACTCTAAATATACTGTATAATATCCAAACAACAAGTTGCCTTGCAGGCAATGGAAAACAATAGAATGTTATGCCTGCTATGCCCCTAGGTACCCTCCTGAGGCACTAAAAGCCACAGCATGCCCTTCTAGTTCAGGACCACCAGCTGCTAGTTACTACAAGTCCTGGGATCTATTGAAAGCTATAGTCATTCCCCGCAAAAGTTGTTTAAACACTACGCTTATACTTGTAGTTCTTTAGCCATGGTTATGTTAACTCCAAATATCTTCTGCTACAAAACTCATCCGTTTAACTTGCCTTCAATTTCTCTGCAACTTTTGCAGCTCAAGAAGCAGAATGAACTGCACACTCCACAACAAGACAAGACAAGTTTCAGTAACTTACAAGGTTGTAGCCTACAGCAGCGTAGAAAGACTAGCCCTGCCTGGTGATCCTTCATGTAAGCAGGGCAGGGCACAGAGCATATTGCTGCTTGTCAGTCTCCTCTCCTACAGCACTGCAACAACTTCCTCATGTCATGGTGAAATGGAGGAAACTGTTCGCCTTGTATCCTGAGCTCCGAACCCCTGATGGTTTGAAATCACAACACAGGAAGCTTGACCAGCCAGCCAATCAGAAGCCAACGTCCCCAGTGTCCCTCCCACAAGACAGACTTGAATTGTTCTCTATCTTGTAACACTCATCTACAATGTATCCATTTATAACCCTGCCCTGGATGCAGGCCACTATACATCATAATACACAGCACTGGGTGTCTTCTAAATCAGATGTGAGCACAGAGGATGAACATACACTGATTGCTCCCAGCAGGGCTCATTATCTGGGAAAGTTTGTGTTTTACAAGATCATCACACCTAGTGCTAATAAACAGTGTGATGATGCAATCTTGATTTCATTGCACTCATCCTGTATTATATATAGAATAAGAAACTGCAGGGGAAAGAGCAAAACCTTAAAGATATAGCCTGTCATAAAGATAAAACACTGCAAGCTGGTACAAATAAATAAAAGGGGGTTGACAATACAGAGTTACCAGGTAAACACCTACACACAGATTTACATATGTTTTATCAAAGCCAGTCCATGTGTATCTTTTAGAAGCGGAGGATCCGGCCACCCAAAGCCTTCAAACAACTCTCTGTTAGCCTTAGTATCCGTGCTGGTAATTCCCAGGATTCTCCCCAGCTCCCAACTATAGTGGTTCAATGCTCCTGTTGCATTCTATGTAAATCGAGCAGCAAGGACGATGGTTTGTGTACCCTGGCACCAGCAGTTTAGTTGCTTTCAAGAAAATTAGAGGAGATCTGAGCTCTGAATTACACGAAGGCTGCATTCACAACTGAGCGTAGCGTTTTTAGCGTGATTTTTTGGGCATATTTTACCGCGATTTTTGTGCAGTTTTATACTGCTTTTTTAGCCGCTTTTGAGCTTTGGCGGGTTTTTTTTTTATTAGCCAATAGAGAAAAATATCAGCTATTGCATCATTTGTTTTTTCTCGTTTTTTTTTTTAGTTTTTTTTCATAAGCTTTTAGTTTTTATTATTATTTATTTATTAGTTTTTTTTTGTTAGGGTAAGGGGTTAGAGTTAAGGTTAGGATTAGGGTTTGGGTTAGTATTTTATTTCTTATTTCTTCTTATTTATTTATAGTATTTCATGTATTATTTTCTTTTTTGTTTTCTATTTTATTTTTTTGTTAAGGTTAGGGGTAATAATAATAATAAATTAATGTAAAATAAATACACATATACATTAAAATAATCATAAATACTTGTAATCATAAATTAATAATAATTAACCCATACCCTGAACCCCCTAAAAAAAAAGTTATAAAAGAATAATTTATTTTTATTATAATTATTATTGTATTTTTTAGTTCGTGTGTTTATTATTATTAATAATTTATTTCATTTTTTTTTAAAGGTTAGGAGTTAATTATTATTTATGATTTATTTATCATGATTTTTTTATTTATACGTGTATTTATTTGATTTATTTTACATTTACCAAATTGCCGTATTTTTCGCTCCACAAGATGCACCTGACGATAAGACGGCCTAGGTTTTAGAGTATAGGAGATGACCAGAGACTGCAGACACAGTACAGGAGATGGACCAGAGAGACTGCGGACACAGTACAGGAGATGGACCAGAGACAGCGGACACAGTACAGGAGATGGACCAGAGACAGCGGACACAGTACAGGAGATGGACCAGAGACTGCGGACACAGTACAGGAGATGGACCAGAGACTGCGGACACAGTACAGGAGATGGACCAGAGACTGCGGACACAGTACAGGAGATGGACCAGAGACAGCGGACACAGTACAGGAGATGGACCAGAGACTGCGGACACAGTACAGGAGATGGACCAGAGACTGCGGACACAGTACAGGAGATGGACCAGAGACTGCGGACACAGTACAGGAGATGGACCAGAGACTGCGGACACAGTACAGGAGATGGACCAGAGACTGCGGACACAGTACAGGAGATGGACCAGAGACTGCGGACACAGTACAGGAGATGGACCAGAGACTGCGGACACAGTACAGGAGATGGACCAGAGACTGCGGACACAGTACAGGAGATGGACCAGAGACTGCGGACACAGTACAGGAGATGGACCAGAGACTGCGGACACGGTACAGGAGATGGACCAGAGACTGCGGACACGGTACAGGAGATGGACCTGAGACTGCGGACACAGTACAGGAGATGGACCAGAGACTGCGGACACAGTACAGGAGATGGACCAGAGATATTGCGGACACAGTACAGGGAATGATCAAGAGACTGCAGACGGTACAGGAGATGACCAGAGACTGCAGACAGTACAGGAGATGACCAAGAGACTGCAGACAATACAGGAGATGGACCAGAGACTGCGGACATAGTACAGGGAATGAACAGAGACTGCGGACACAGTACAGGGAATGATCAAGAGACTGCGGACACAGTACAGGGAATGATCAAGAGACTGCAGACGGTACAGGGGATGATCAAGAGACTGCAGACAGTACAGGAGATGACCAGAGACTGCAGACAGTACAGGGGATGACCAGAGACTGCAGACAGTACAGTGCCGTCGTGGGAAGACTGCGCAGCGCTGGACCGATGAACAGGTAAGGTCCTGCAGCAGAGAACAGCTGAGCGGCCGGCCCGGTATTCTGACATGGTGGCGGCGGAAATACCGGAACGGCCGCTTTATATTCGCTCCATAAGACGCACTGACATTTTTACAGGAGATGGACAGAGACCCTCCTTTTTTGGGGGGGGGGGGGGGGGGGGGGGGAGTGCATTTTATGGAGCGGACAAAAAATACGGTATTTATTCATATATTATTACTTTTTTTTTGCCAATTGCACGTTTCTATTCTTTTCTATGGGAATAAAAACACGCCAAAAAATTGCAAATCTGCCCAATTTAAGCTACAAAAGTAGTTCCAAAACTTTTTTGAGCTTCAGGCGTTCTGCTTCAGGTGACTTGGAGTGGAGATGTGAACCATCTCCATAGATTACTCTATGATTTTTTTTTTCCCCCTGAGCGTTTTGGACCTTCAAGCTTCGCGCTACAAAACACTCAGGTGTTAATGCAGCCAAAGACATACAAACAGCCAAAATGCAGCTGAACAGGATATGTGGCATCCACAAAAACTCAATGCACAGCAAATGCAAGGATAACCCAAATGTACACTGCTCAACACATTCCAAACACAGACTTTCACATCATTCAAAAATGCTTCAGAAAACACATCAGCATCTAAACACAGCTTTTAAAATGATTGCAAACACTCACCTTTTAAAACAACCCATTCAATTCAGACTGATTTACCAGCACAGCTAGAGAACTGACCACAGTGCGTTCTCCTGCTTAGTGTGGTCAGTGTTTAATAGGAAAGCAGAGGGACTGGTAGGAACACCAGGGATTACACACAAAAGAAGCAATACAAAGAGAATAGGATACATTTTCATACGAGACCATGGTACAGCAGGCACATATCAGGAACATGAAATGTTGGCTTTACATATTCTTTAAAGTGAACCTTCAGCCTATTTTTAAAGTTCCTATTATTAGAGTTTTCTCCCCCTCAAATAATACAATTGGATATAAAAAAATACTCCAAATACTTTTTTTTCACCTAGGCAAGTGATGCAGCCTCTGCTTCCGTTGACTCTGTCTACATGCTGCTGCATTTCCTGGAAGAGAATGTGTGCTGGCTTTAGCTGCTCTTACTTAAAATGGCTACTGACAGACTTCAGGTGATTGCTGTACTAATAAAAGTTTCACATGGAGAAACAAGCTTTTTTAAAACCACATGCCACCGACTCACAGCACATTTACTGTGTGCAGCCGGCAGCTGCAGGCTCCGCAACGTACATGTATGACACGTCCTGTTTTCCAGCATGCATGCTCACGCCCCCTGCTGACCCGTGCTGTGATTGGACACAGCATGAGTTTGTGAGAAGGTTTCAGCTGAAACCTGCTGATCAGTCATGTCCAATCATAGCACAGAGTTCTGTGTTTATAAATGTAAAAATTTTGCATTTGGGGGCTAAAAATGTGCACGTATCATACTAGGGGAGAACAACTGGAGGGAAACAATGGTGGAGAAGGATCTGGGGTGTTCTGGTAGATCACAAGCTTAATAATGGCATGCAATGCCAAGCTGCAGTTTCCAAAGTGAGCAAAATCCTCTCTTGTATTAACCGCTTTAGATCCGCCCTACAGCAGATTACTGCTACAGGGGGGCTATATATACACTGATCCGCACTCCCACTGTGATTGCGGGCCAGGGGAGTGTGTGCGCAACCGTCGACCCAGCAGTGCCGTAATTTCGGTGCTGCACCGATCAATAAGCAGATTCAGGCCAGTGATGTTCGTCCTGGATCTGCTGTCTGATCCCTGCCCTATCACAGATCTTCTGTACCTGTGTTTACATTTACACAGTTACAAGAAATGATGCAATCTTCTCTACCTGGGCACATTCTGTTCCAGAGAGAGCAGAAAGAGTCAAAAGCACTACACAATTAATAGTAAAAGCACAGCTAGGTCACACTAAACCCCCTGAGGTCCCCCAGTTAACCCTTCACTACCCTGTTACCAGTGTCATTAGTACAGTATACAGATTTTTTTTTGTTTTTAACGATCACTGTATTAGTGTCACAGGCAACTTCAGATAGCGTTAGCATGTTAGCATCCCTCCCAGATATCGTCAGATTGCCCACCACTAAATCAGTCATCACATTTAAACCTTTGACTGCCAGGAACATGCTCACATACACAACAAACCTCAATGCTAGAATAGTGTCTGAACATATCAATATCTTTGATAAGATCAGAATTATACCAGCATTCACAATAGTATAGTGTCCCCAAAAATGCAGCGTTAGCGGGATCAGCCCTGGCCCTGCCAGCACCTGCATTTAGCCCCTACACTTACCCCACCCCCCTTCTCCCCCAGCAAGTGCAGTGTCAGTAGATCACTGTCACTTGATACATTGCACACAAGACTGCAGTGTTAGCAGAATCAGGCCTGGTCTCTGCTAGCACTTGCAGGTACATTTTTTTTGTAGCGGTTCAAGCAGTCAGTGAAAGCCAGGTGCTCTTTTTCCCCGTGAGTCGCACTAGGTGCCTATACATTTAGTGGCCAAAATGTCCAACGAAAGGTACTTTAGTGAAGAGGCCTACAGAATTTTGACCATGTCAGGGGAGAGCGAAGGGGAAGCCTCACTGACAGAATCAGGCTCAGAATACAAACCTGTAGACAGCAGCGGCACCCTGAAAGATAGTTCAGACAATGGAGTAGTGGTCCCTGCTAAGGCCAGGAGTACCCATCCCCGTTCCCAGGTTGCGGAGGTCGTACAATTGCATGATGATTTCATATGTAGTAGAGTGCCAGTATTAGTGCCACTGAACCTTTTGGTGAACTGGCAAGCACCAACGGCCTAGTACATCCTGGCCTTGTACATATCAGCACTACAGTGTCATTTGGTGACATGGCGAGTCCCATAAGTGCAGTACAAGCTGGTGCGGTGGCTAGCACAAGTAGTGTCTCACAGCCATCAAGAATTCAAACACAGGCTCGTAGAGCCCATAGTGTCCTTCTGGATGTGCTTGCAAATCCCGATTGGCAGCCCACAAATTTTACAGTACCCGTACTTTCCCCCATTCACTGCCCAACCCGGATTTCTGGTGGCAACTGCACATTTAACTACTCCCCTCGATTTTTTGGAGCAGTTTTTCACGGAAGATCTGTATGGATTGATTGCGGACAGCAATTTATCGCTGTTAACCCAGATTCAAACCTTGCCAGACCATTTTCATGAAACCTATTATGGTTTCTGAATTTAAAAATTTTTTTGGGCCTAACCCTCAACATGGGCATTACTAAAAAAAAATAATTGCGGTTGTATTGGTCCAGAGAGCCGATTCATCATATGCCCATGTTCTCTACTGCCATGGTTAGGCATAGATATGAGAATATAATGCAATTTATGCATTTCAACAACAATACACTCTGTCGTCCTTGGGGTGACCCTGAATTTGACAGGTTCCACAAAATTTGGCCCCTCGTAAATTTGCAGATGTGTATACTCCCCAGCAAAACATCTGTGTTGATGTGTCCCTCACTAGTTTTTCTGTCCACCTTGTATTCAAACAATTTCTCCCCAGCAAGCATGCCAGATATTGAGTCAAAATGTATACTTGTGAGAGGGCAACAGGCTATACATGTAATTTTAGGATTTACGAGAGAAAAGATAGTCATGTGGAGCCCCCTGGATGCCCAGACTACATGGGGAACAGTGGCAAGATAGTTTGGACCTTGGTGTCACACTTTTTTCTCTTTTTTCCATATGGGGTAAAACTTAAGCGCTTATTTAAGCGTGCCACTATTTAGACATTTATAAAATCTTGGAATTGGGCATGTGGCACTATATGACCTAATCGCTGGGGCTTCCCCCAATGGCTTGTAAATACCCATCTTAGAAAGGGGGAGAAAGCCTGCTTGGAAAATGATGAATTGCTCGCAGTGAAGTGGAAGGACAAAGGGATAGTTTTCGTCCTGTCTTACATTCACGCAAACACGACCATCCAAATTTCCATGGTAGCTGGTGTTTTGAGGAGCCCCGCTGTGTCGATGACTACAACCTTAACATGGGAGGGGTGGACTTCAATGACCAGATGATGAAACCATACTTCTTTTCCCGAAAAGCCAGACGCTGGTACAAAAAAAAAAAGTGTCTGTTTATTTCAATTGGCTCTATATAACGTTTTTGTGCTTTACAAAGCAACTGGACGAAGTGGATCCTTCCTAAAATTCCAGGAAGAGATCATCACGGCCCTTTTGTATCCAGAAGGTGCTGAAGCCCAAACCCCCAACACAGATGTAGTGAGCCGGCTGCATGAGAGGCATTTTCCCAATACCATTCTGGTACCCCAACCCAAAATATTTGGGGGTTCAAAGTAAATACCTAGCAAAATGACCCCTTTTTGTAAAGTACACACCTGGAACTAATTGCGGAGAGGCATGTCAAGTCAATAGAAGAATTTCTTTTTTTTACAAGTTTTTTGGAAAATGAGAAAAAGACACAAAGTTGTCACTTGATGATATGTCAAATGATATATTGCTCACACATGCCATAGGTATATGTGGAATTACTGCCAAAAACACATTCTGCTACTTCTCCTGAGTATGGGGGTACCACATGTGATAGACATTACACAACCCCAAAAATCAATTAAGCACCTTCAAGCTTTTAAAGGACTTTATTTCCTCATTACACTTCCTGACTACCTATCACAGTTTAAGAGGCCCTGAAATCCCAGAATAGTACAAAACCTCCCCAAAACGACCTCTTTTTGGAAAGTAGACACCCCAAGGAATTTGATAAGAAGCATGGTGCGTATTTTTCAGATCTCGTTGTTGCCACAAGTTTTTGAAAAATGAAGAAAGAAAACGAAACATTTTTTCCTTTTCTTTTTTTCTTTTTCAAAACCTTGTGAGAAACAATGAGATCTGCAAAATACTCACCATGCTTCTTTTTAAATTCCTTGGGGTGTCTACTTTCCAAAAAAAAGGGGTAATTCAGGGACTCCACAACTGTGATAGGGGGGGGGGGTTGTTCCATCCTGGGATTTCAGGGTCTCCACAACTGTGATAGGTAGTGAGGAAGTGAATCGAGGAATTTACGCACAATCAGTCTTTCAAAGGGGTCATTGGATTTCGGGCTCCTGTATGTGGCTAGGCTCCCGAAAA